TTATATTCAAAAGGGTTCTGAGACCATATTGGATTCGATTATTATTGTGTTTCACTTTGCATGTTTTGACTTCCAAAATAGCTAGGTTATTCTTTTCGAATGACTAAGTTATTTAAACACTCCACAGTCATTCATATGTTGGAGGTAGGTATGAATCAAGACTGTCATGAATCGGGTTTGTAGATGGCTAAATGGGTTTAGTCATAGTAATGGTTGCTACAACATTCATGAGTGCTCATAAGTTATGAGTATTGGAATAAACCCACGCTCACTTGTATCACTTCATGGAATTTATCTCGAGTGATCGTGAGACGGTAATATCGTATAAATCTTCAAACCTAGAGATATGAGTTGTTACCTATTAGTTGGTTGTGCATTGATTGCACGTAAACGCATCAGTAACTTGATGTTATAAAACGTGCCTTTGTGTACAATTCAACAAGTAGTAGAACAAGCATATGAGTCGAAGTTTATTTGTTCCTTCTAGAAATAGAAGCGATATCTGGGCCCCTCGATGATTTTGTTGTGACCTATGTACCGGCTGGTCAGAACTAAATTGATGTGTTCAATTAAGTTCTTTGTCAAACAAATCGAAAATCGGGAAACAAATTGCTGGACAATAAGTACAACGTTGTTCCATGAATTTGTCCGGCTGATATCATGAGGACAGAGGATTATATGATCACTTATCTAAAATGGCGCTTCATAGTTCAACAGAGTCTTCATAGTTCAACGGAGTTTTTGAGAGCTACGATTGTTGGTTGGTTCCTGAAGTAACATACGCAAATATAGTTATTAGACTTATCCAAGTGGGAGTCTATTGGATAAGGTGTCTAAGTCCATAACTTATTTGGTATATACTTGACCCGACCTGGCATGGTCCATTTGGGTTGCATTTCATCCAAACTATTTATGGATAAGTTTATGAGAGTTATACACATATGTTTATTAATATATTATAAGTTATAATATATTAATATGAGATTATTTTATTTAATTAGTTTTAGTCTTAAATTAATTATGAATTAATTTAGAGATTAAAAGGAAGACTTATTAGATTGTGGGCTATTGGTTTTATATGGTGTGGGCTAACACTCATTTGTTAATGGGCTAGGCTTATATGGAAGTCCATGGATGATCCATGGAGCTTTTAACCCATGGATCCTTGGAAAGGAAAAGACATGGGTTATTAGGGTTTCACCCTAACCATGCACACTATATAAGCATGCTTATGGAGCATGAAATGGTGCCCAAATGTAACTAGTGAACTAGTGTGTGTGTGTGTGCTTGTAGGGATGAGCATCGGAACCGGGTACCCGCTTTTGGAATCGGAACCGCCTCGGAACTGCCGGTTTTGGAACCGGAACTGCCTTAGACGGTTCCGGTTCCGGTTCCTAAAGTTATGGAACCGCCTTAAGCGGTTCCGGTTCCGGTTCTCATTTTTTCGGAACTGCTACCCGCTGGGTACCATTCGGAACCGGTTTATATATATATGTATATGTATATATATATATATATATATATATATATATATATATAATTTCATCTAAAGGTGTGTTACTTAGACCAGTTTTGGAATATATTGGTCCGATTTTGTCTGTCTTTGAATTGATTTGATTTGGATCGAACTAAATTACGGTTTTGTCGAAAGAAGTTAACAAAACTAAAGCGATCGGGTTACCCGCTCCCGGAACCGGAACCGCCGTTTCCGGGACTGGTTCCAAACATTTAAGAACCGCCTAGAGTGGTTCCGGTTCCGGTTCTAACTTTCTCGGAACCGCCGGTTCCGGTTCCGGTTCGGGTTCTCACCAAATGAGGCGGGTACCCGCCTACGCTCATCCCTATGTGCTTGTGTGTGGCCGAAAATACAAGTGTGTATTCTCTCTCAAAGTTTTCCAAGAGTTTGTGGTGTTTTGTGATTCCATTTGAGGCATTCACACTATTGGTGCTTGGCCCTCAAACTCCTTAGAACCAAACTCATCAAAAAGGTATGTAATCTCTTCTAACTCTTCTATGTTGAAATGTTCCCCATTCCATGTTAGATAGGTTATAAACCTTGGAAATATTATTATTTTGCATGTATTTAGACAAACATAGATCCAAGGTTTATTAGGGTTGCATGCACACTTAGGAAGTGTTAGATTGCTCAAAACCCAACACTAGGAAGTTCGCACTCCGGAGCCAGAACTCACACTTAGAGAGTTTTGTGTATAGCTTCTCCGATCGCAGAGTTTCTAGGATTTGTCGGAGATGTTGGCCATGCTCTTCTTCGCTTCGGGAATAAACGAGAATGTTATCAATGAAGACAATGTCAAAGTTGTCTAGGAATGGTCGACAGATTCGGTTCATCAGATCCATAAATGCAGCAGGGGCATTTGTTAGACCGAAGGGCATTACGACAAATTCGTAATGTCCGTAGTGAGTTCGGAAAGAGGTTTTTGGAATATCCTCTTCCCGGACTTTGAGTTGATGGTATCCGGACCGTAGATCTATTTTAGAAAAATAACTAGCTCCTTGGAGCTGGTCAAATAGATCATCGATTCGTCGAGTGGGTAGTGATTTTTTAACAGTGAGTTTATTTAACTCTCTGTAATCGATGCACATTCTAAAGGATCCGTCCTTCTTTTTGAAAAAGAGAACTGGAGCTCCCCATGGCGAGTAACTAGGGCGGATGAATCCCTTGTCCAAGAGTTCACTGAGTTGGCTGGACAATTCCTGCATTTCAGCAGGAGCTAGCCAATAGGGTGATTTAGCGAGAGGAGTTGCTCCTGGAACGAGGTCAATTCAGAACTCCACTTGTCCTTCTGGGGGTACTCCTGGAAGATCTTCTGGAAACATGTCTGGGAACTCACATGCTATGGGAATGTCTTGAACGTTATCCTCTTCCTTGATTTTATCCACTATGTGAGCCAGGAACACCAAATTGTTCTTTCGTAGATGTTTTTGTGCCTTGATGCTCGAGAAGAGGCGAAGGTTCATGCTAGGTTTGTCTCCGTAAATTACTAGGGTTTCGTGATTGGGAAGGCGAAGGCGAACGGCCTTCTCGTGACACATAATTTCAGCATGGTGGGGGCTTAACCAATCCATGCCGACGATCACATCGAAACTCCTAATTGATACCGGCATTAAGTCTATTCGAAAGACGTGTTGATTAAGGGTTAGGGTACATTTGATGTAGATTTCCCCGGTGGATTCGGTTTTCCTATTGGCCATTTCCACCGTAAAGGTTTCATTTAGCTTCTAGGGCTGTTGTTTTAATAAATGTTTAAACTTATTGCTTATGAAACTTCGCTCCGCTCCGGTGTCAAATAGGATGCATGCATAAGTGTGGTTTAGGGGAAACGTACCGGTAACAACAGCGGGGTCCTGAATCGCCTCTCCCTGACCCATGGCCAGCATCCTTCCTGTTCCTCCGTTTCCTGAATTGCTGTTGTTAGGGCAGTCTCGGAGGAAATGCCCAGTACTCCCACACCCATAGCAGGTGTGGCTAGGCCCTGCATTGCTGCCGCCGGTGATGACGTTGTTGTTGTTGTTGTTTCCCTATTGTTGGTTCTGAGGAGGGTAGGTCCTGCAGTACTTTGCCGTGTGTCCCCTTCGGTTACAACTGCTGCACTGCAACTCCTTGCATTCTCCATTGTGATGGAAACCGCACTTGTTGCACTTGGGAAGATTACCAGAATAAGGTCTGGGAGCATTTGAAGCAGCTGAGGCTAGAGCATGTGGTGTGGCTGGAACCGGTGCGATGGCAGCATTAACTGCCACTGTCTGTTGCCTTTTAGAGGTCTCGAGGCCATGATGCCCCTTCCTCTTATTGTTCTTCCCCTTCTTGCCATCACCTTCCTTCTTTCTTTCAGCCTCCGCTAGCTTCTCGCCCTTCTTGTTGTTATGGTCATACAGCTTCTTTGCCAATCTTTTTGCACTGTCAAATGTTTCGGGGTTTGCAGCTATCACATTTCCTTGAATTGGTGATGTTAGTCCCCAGATGAATCGCTCAGTCTTCTTTCCTTCCGAGGTGATCATACCCAGGCACAATAGAGACAGTTCAATAAATCTCGATATGTAGGCATCGATATTCGCATTTTGCACAGTGAGGTTCCACAGCTCTTGCTCCATTTTCTGAATCTCACCTCGTGGGCAGTATTCAGCCATCAACATTTCTTTCATCTCTGCCCATGACATGGAGTTGGCTACAGGGAGTGTCATGGCTTCCACATATCCATTCCACCAGGTGAGCGCTTGATCGACAAAAGTGCAGGCCACGAACTTCACTTTCATCTGCTCAGGACAATCGCATATCTCGAATACCGATTCCACCTTCTCGATCCATCGCTTCAGAGTGATCACTCCTCCAGTGCCGTTAAAAGTTCGTGGTTTGGCATTTGTAAAATCCTTGTAGGTACACGATTTGGTGGGTCCTTGATTCATCCTGTTGTTCGAACTCCCGACCCCTTGCCCGTTGCCTCCTCCGTTATTCCCTTGGTGAATTTTCTCCATTGCTGCAGTGACCGCAGCAGATACAGCTGCCTAGAACGCGGCTGAGTCAACTTCGGGTGGGGTTGGTCCTGGGTTTCCGCGAGTAGGTCGGAGAGGCATCTTTCTTTCACGAAACGGAAAGATGTTCAATGTATGTGGTTTTCGTGAGGTTGTGATCCTATAGACTAGGTACGTGGCACAACTTAAGTACTTCTACGATTGAGAATACAATCATGGATACATAAAACATAGCAGATTATAACGTCATATTAAAACATATAAAATATTTCATTACTATTATCCACACTTTGATACATGAAAATTTTGCTCGAAAGAGCATACATAAGTGGTACTAGTTCGACAGCATAACGGCTCTATGAGTAGTGCAGTCACTTAAACATAGAGTCGGGGTACATAACATAGATCCTAGTACTAGTACTAAAGATGAGTATAACTAGTCCCTCGTACGGTGGGACCTATCTAGAAGGTAGTAGTGTAGGTCCTATTATTAACGATGACGACGACACTCAATCATCGAGGTGACACACCAGAGGTTCAGCCAGTTCATCAGCCTGTTGGATGATTTCCTTTACTTTTCGCTCGGCTTGTACAACCCTCGCCTTGGCCATGATGAGTTGAAGTTTCAGGCTGATAACTGCCTCCTCGAGGGCGCGTAAGTAGTCTGTATCTACCCCTTGAAACATGCAGAAATTTGACGGGGCTTCCAACTGGTGAGGTTCACTACACGCCTCTTCTATGCCCTTTTCTTCATCTGGCTCCTGGTCCAACTCATCATAATCGAGATCAACCATCACGTATTCGTCAGGTCGGACGTTGTGTGCTTCCTCTGGGTTCCCTTCTGGTTCATTTTCAAGCATCCCGTGAGCCAGTAGAACTTGATGGAGCTGGATACCCGGCTGATCTCCCTCCATGACGACTGGGGGAAAGTATAAACTATCGTAACTCCCATGTCTATGATGTATACTAAACAGACGTTTTCTTTTTGGTGATATAGGGGTATAGTTTTAGGTTCCCTAGCTATCACGATCTCATCGGAACGTGTGTTAGTTATACTTTGGAGAGAATGTAGTTGATCAGGCTACATCCACTCCTTGGTACTACTAAGAACAATCCTGATTTAACCGAGATAATAGAATTATCTTGTTTGATTCCGCATTATGTTGCTTGTTCCTAATGCAAGCAAAGGTGTTTTATTGTTGTATTTTTACTTGTTTTGTTCAGAGTTATGTTAGTCCCTCTTTTGGTTTATAGTTGCATATCAATGTATGGTTCGATATGCTAGTTCACTATAAACAGAGCTCTGATACCAACCTGTCACACCCCCGAACCAGACGGCGGAAACGTCCGAGGGCTATTGTGACTCAATTGAATACCATCATAATGAATATACATGAAACATAACATCATACAAGACCAAGCATTGGAATATTACAACTGGTTGTGTTTACATTCAGTACATAGCTTCAAAACATTACATTCTCAAAGGTAGATTGTTCATTACTAGTTAGACAAACAACAAGACATCACTGAGTACATTTTTCCCTTCGGTTTACCTGTTACCTGAGAATACAAGTATTTTGTAAAACGTCAACATATGAAATGTTGGTGAGTTCATAAGTAATGTTTGAAATATAGTGGTTTGTGTTGTTTTGAAAATCACCAGAAAATCCGATATTTTTTGAAAACAACTTAGTATAAAAAGTGTGAAGATCCGTAAGTATGCTCGTTTGTTTCTATAAATGTAAAAGAGCGATTTGTAAAACTCGGTATGTAGCTCGTAGGTGTATTAATTGAAAACCCTAGGAAAACCCGATGTTTTCCTAATACTTTGCATCAAATAATTTGTATCTTGTTATTTCGTTACGACAGGTGTATTCATTGAGTCCCGGTGACGTTGGATTAATTATGGATTGTGAATTGTTATAAACACACATTAATGAAAATGACTAGTTTACAACCATACAAACGATCCCTTAGGCGTTGTTCGCACTATTCACTTAATCCAAACACCCGGACTTCATGTAGCCCCACGACCGAGGAGGAAAAGAGGGTGTGAAGCCCCGATATTTTCCGTAAGTCGTTCAAGGCTATCGTGAATGCGAAGGGCCCTTAGCCCGACCCGCATTTGGTGAATTCTCGACGTTACTAGCAGCACCAGAAGGCCCTTGGGGTCCAACAACACAAAGCCTGTAAAAGTCCTTTTACACAAAATTAGGTCATGTAAAACCCAACTACATGTAAGCGAGTTTCCTTCGGGCCTAAAGATCATGCCATTGGGCTAGCTAGGCCCAACAAACATGATTTGAAACTTTTGGGCCCAAAGACGGTGTATCGACGTCTGGTGTATTCTCACGTGTGTATTGACTTCCCGAATTTTCCGCGTGTGTATTGAAGTTTCGTCGTGTTAGTAATTTCGGATTCATTATTGATTCGAGACCAAATCATTTCGTTTGATAACGATTTTTGGTGTTGAAGGTGTATTATAATTTGCCGATAGTCAAGATGCTAGTATTTCATGATGACAGATTTATTATTTAAAACTTAAGGATGTTTCTTTATAGCAGCCCCTTTTCTTTTGAATAATTTACACATTTAACCGTTTATATAAAAATAATTTCTTTTTTAGTCCTCAAACTATTTTTCTTGACACTTTAGTATCAAAACTTGTAGAAAAGTTATTTTTCAGCCCAAAGTTATTTGAAGAACAGTTTTAATCCACCAAATGAAAATTTTCTCGGCTAGAACCCTCATTTTTGGCCCAAAATAGAAATTTTTTGCATTTTTGGCCCCTTTTAAATATGAAAAGCATTTTTAACCCTTGAAATGGACTTGGAGCACTAGTAGTCCCCTGTTTTACAGAAAATCACAGTTTCAACCCCTCTAATTTGAAAATCTCGCATATTGGGCTTTATTGGGCCGAAAAATTCATTTTTGTCCCATTATGTTTAAAAATTTCACATTTAATCCTCCAAAGAGAATATTTCCAGAAAAATACTTTATTAAAACTGTTTTGACTCATTTCATCCATCAGAATTTGTATTTTGTCATTTTGGGCCCTTTAACTTTATATTTTTAACATTTTGAGTCCAAAAATGAGATTTTTAGCCCAATGGGTTCATTTTAACCAACTTGGTTATTTTTCTAGAAATGATTTGTGTGTAGTAATATGTTTAACACTTGTTTCCTACATCCTAATGCAAACCTCAATTTTTAAGGTCTTTTGACTAGTTTCAACACCGTAATCACATATAAACATGTAAATAAGCATAGAAATCATACAAAGCATACATATACTCATAGATCTACACATTTGCTTGTATTCCCCCCCCCCACAAAACTTATAAAACTGAAAAATAGGGGGTATGAAGCTCACCTTTGGGTGTGGTTTCGGTTTTGGAGAAAAGATGGAAGAAAATGAGGTGATTTTCGACCCTAGCACACTTTGATGAAGATCTCGGCCTTGAGGTGATTCTAGGATGCAAGATCATGATTTCTTATGAGTTAAGAAGAGATGTTTGATAGATCAAGGAACCTAGATCATAGATTTAAGTATAACCTTACCTTGGATGGTGATTTTTGAGAAAAATTCTCCTTGAAATGCCCTTGAATCTTAGAAAATTTAGTGAAGAGAGGTGAAGGTGTTTTTGAGAGTGTTTGATATGTGAAAAGTGATGAAAGTGTGTGTGTGTGGGTGCTTTCGGCCGAGATCAAGAAGAAGAGAAGAGAGAGAGAGAGAGTTGAGTTGACAATCCTAGATGCATGTTGGTCCATGCATGGAGATATGTGGGGTATAAGTGAGGTGGCAAGGCTTAAGTCAACTCCTTTCTTCTTGGATTTGGGCTTTGGGCTGAGAATTTGGAAGGGAAAGGAGATCATTGGGCTTTAATGCCCCTAAGCCCCTATTATAGTTAGTTTGGATGATTTTTGGCCCAAAAAAAATATAATATGATTTTTACACTTTGTTGGGCTAGTTTAGGTTAATTATGGTTCATAATATTTAATTTATTTCATTCTAGGCCCAATATGGACCAAAATATTGAAATAAATGAATGTGGATCAAATTAGAGCCCATTTAAAGGTTCTAATACCATGATAGTCAAATTGGAAGCTTATTGGTCCACTGAGTCCAATAAGGAAGTCCTAGTCCAAAATGGACGTAAACAAGAACTTCTAGGGTTTCCAATTGCTTGTTGACTACTTGTAGTACTTGTATGGTGTATTGGATTGAAATTTTGTTGTCGTAGAGTAAGCATCATACATGCTCTTAAGTTTTTGATACAACATCTTACTTGAGTATAGTGATTACAAGACACAAAATTTCTAGTTGTGACACTGTTGTGTGGCGTGCCCCAACCATGATGTCTCTGAAACACAATACAAAAGATATTAGAGAGTCACTCGAGTATCCTTGCACTCGATAACTAAGCCCTACTTGCTCCTTAGTACCCTAAGGATTCTTACTTGGACTGCGCACTGATCCGGTGTTTTCAGTAGTACCGGCCCTATACTACATTCCACACTGCATCAGCATTCATTCCAAGTCCTCCTTCTAGGATCCTAGATCACAAGTACTTTACATCTCGCTAAGCATAGGCTACCCTTCGGTAGTCTTCTCATAAGCTCCTCACTACTACCTACTCACTCTCGAAGCATCTCATAGCAATAATAATCTCCGAAGCTAAGGCATCACAAATCAGGCCACTCTAGTCCAAAATTGAATACCTAGCCTACTCTAGCATGCATAACATATCATATCATATCTCATAACACATAATGTAAGGAAATTTTGGGAAATCACCGTTTGGGCGTGGGCTGATCGTACACACTGCTTCTTTCAGCTTTCATTACATTCCTTTACTTTTTAGAAAACAACGTTTCTTTTATGAAAACTTTCTCAAATCCTCAGTTTGAGTTACACCCAAAGGTGTACCCGAATCCCTCAAACTAAGGCTTTGATACCAATTTGAAACAACCTTAATTTCCAGAACAATGTTTTTCATTTTTAAAAACATAATTTCATGTATATAAAAGGTCAAAACTTAATGTAACACATGTCATCCGAATAAACAATTCCCAAGATCTCAGATAAATAAAACTCCATCAATGTGTACGGATCATACTGACGCTTTCCCGCGATCGTCGCAGGTACTTGAAACGCATGTCACATAAACGATAAGCATCAATGCTTAGTTAGTTCCCCAAAATACCACATACAACACATACGCCACTTAAGGCTACAACTCCTCAAGACCTTTCGGTCAATGTGTCTCAGGGGACTTCCGTCCGATAGTTCTAGTAGATCTTCCGATCCCACTTCTCTGACCTTCCCGTCCATATCGTCTTGACCTTCCGGTCCATGTCATAATACTCATAACATAACATAACACATACATATCATATAACAACATGCAACACATACTCATCATAGCTAATAAGACCTTCCGGTCACACATAATAGCACTCTAGGTAAGGTATATTGAGAAGACTCACCTCGTACGATGTCGGACTACCTCTCGTGCTTGATAACCCGACCTAGCCTCCTCCTATCAATATAATAATATCTCTAATCAATACTTTCTCTTGTGCTCATTTCTACAGAATGGGTAGAAGACCACTGTACCCCTCCTTGACCTCTCTTGAACCAGCTTGACCAAAACCCTAAAGTCAACTGAAGTCAACTCTAGCCAACGGTCAAACTTTGACCAAACTCATCGAGTGCACTCGTGTGACTCGGTGAGTCCATGCGTGTCCTCTTATCCCTCATAAATCCTCACTCGACTCGTTGATTCAACCTATCACTCGAAAGGTTACCATTGGTCACAAATTGTGGGGCAACCCGACTCAACTCGTCGAGTTC